TCGTACCCGATCACATACATGAGCGATACATTGAGCATACATGGGCCATTCAGCCCCCATTGAAGACCCCCTTTTGCAGACCCCCTCTTTCACCCTCCAATTTTCGAGCGGAGAATCGCGCGCTGGCGGGGGAGCGGGGAAAGGTCGGAATCGCGTGTCGCCAGCGTCGCAGTTGAGCAGCGCCGGCCATGGACAAATCCCGCCCAGTCTTCCCGCCCCTCAAGAGAACGAGCCAGGAGCTCGGCACTCGAGTGCGCAAAGCTCTGTCTGCCAGGCGCCGCAGCGCCGCGCGATCTACATGGGGGCGTCTTGCCCGCGGACTAGCGTCAGAGACCAGCGGCCCGCGCAGTCTAACTGGGGCCTATCGCCCGCGGGCGGCGCGCCGAACGCCGCGGCCAAAATCTGCGAGACCTTTCCGAGCAGCCGAACAACTTGCACAAGCAAGCCCAACGCCCCGATCCCGTGCTCGAGAAGAACGACCAAACGCCAATAGACGAACTCCGCGCGAGGCCCTCGCTCTCACAGGCTGCGCCGGGCATGGCCATGCGGCGGCGGCGAAAATTTGAGGAGATTGCGCGGGCCTTCCGCGACGAGAAGCGCCTCCCAATTAATCGCCTCAGCGTGCTGAACGCCCAGGAGACGCGGAGAGTCGACTGGAATCAAGCCCCGGAGCATGGGCGCCGCCTGACTACGCGATGGCCACTCTTATCTTGGTGACCTCTGGGAACAGCGATCCCGGACAGCGCCGCCCCCCCGCCGCCCCCCTCCCCAGAACACTCGCAGCGCGGCGAGTCCCCCCAGATAACCGAGCCCCCTCACGATGCCCCACCATTCGATTGGCAGCCGCGGAGCCACGGCCAGCGCAAAGCAGATTGGCGCCATGCTTCCCAACATCATGTCCCCGCCCCCCCGTGGCTAGGTGCTCGCCCAAGAACTTGCTGGATTGAGCGTGCGATCCCTGTGTCAAGCAATGGGGGGTCAGGCACTCCCCGCGCGCGCAACCTCGCCCGCGCGCTCGGTGGGGCTCGCGCCCATGAGCTGATACGCGACTGGACATTCAGCTGCGGGCGGACTCTCTGAGCCACGGCGGTTGCCATCTGCGCGCGCCAATCGCCAACTGGAGCGACACTTTCCGCGGCGCGAGGGCCCCCCGCAAGCGACCCGCACATCGGATTCGCGAGCGGCGGCCCGTCGAGAGCAAGGAGTTGAAAAATGACGGCGCGCACTCGGTCCCTCCATAAAGCCTGGCTCTGGGGCTCAAGCAGCAATCCATTCGCCTGTCCCAGGGGCCAGCCGGCAGGGTGCCTTCCGAACGTAAGCCGGATTGCACGCGTGGCCCCCTCCTCCCGACGTCCTCTCGAAAACCCACGGCCAGATGGCCCGGGGGGCGTCGGCTTCTATCTGGAAGTAGCCATTGTCGACCAGGCTTTGCCCACTGGGTCCAGGAAATGGGCGGCCCGTTGCCCCTTCGGCCCCGGCGCCATCGACGTCGGCAAAGCGCAGCCGTCGACGTCGACAATGGTCTCGGTCAGAAAACCGCATGCGTTGCTGCAACCAAGATCAATCGCATTTCCCCGGACTTCTCTAGGGACAACACAACAGTGGGAGCACGCGTCGCCTGGGCGCCTTCCTCAGCTACGCGCCTATCCTCAGCGTGCCAGTGAGCGCCTCATCACCGTGAGCGACCCAAAGCCCTTCCCCCCTACATCCTTGCGCTTTTTGTTTTTGCGATGCCCCACACCTCCGCGCATCCTCTACGTCCGCCAAGCACCGAAATATTCGCTGGTCTTCAGCAGACAGCGCAGCGCCTTGCAGGTGCGCGTCGGACCTGCCACGAAGGCCTTTTTCCCCCCGAAATGCCAGCAGACGCGTGCGACGACGAGTCTCCTTGTCACTCGTTACCCTTCGCGCCCCCCCCCCAGGTTCGTTCGCGACATCCTCCCTCCACTGCAAGTTGCGCCTCCTCCGTGGTCTGGCACTGGTCCGGGTGCTTGATTCCAGGTCGGCAGCGATGCTTTCCTCCAACCCCTCCCCCTCCTGCTCCTCCTCTCCCTCCTCCCCCCAACTCTCCCCCTTACTTCTGGCACGCCGGAAACTTGATCTCAAACGAATCCGCCCACCAACCTGACACCCAAATTCAGGAGAAGCAGAACAAACGGCACCGCGAACTACGTCCGCGGCAACGTCCCTTCACCATGTATTCAAACGGTCGAAGTAGGCGTCGGGTTTGCCGGCGCTGGGGTCGGTGGGGCGCTCGGGTTCGTTGCTCATCATAGCTGGGTCCGAGTGCAATGAAATCCTTCCGATCGCGGTCGCGCGCATAGTCTTCGCATTCTAAAAAGCGCGGTCCTGCTGGAGCTCGTTGAAGGCGGCGCGTTCCCAGAGCAGGTTACCAGTGGATGGGAATGTGGTCTCTGGGGTAGGGTGGCTGAATGAGTTGATGCTTTCGCATGAAACGTCTTAGTGGCCCCGTGCTTTAACCGCCCCGAGAGCAGCAAGCCAATGGCATCACCAACTCGACTTGCAACCCCATCCTTCCCAAAGCAAGTAAATGGGTTCTACGATTTGGCAGATGCAGATGAGCGCTACCCTATATTCGCCTATGACCTCCAACGCCAGCCGCCCCGCCCTGTTTGTCAGATTCACCTTCGGCAACCGCTCCGACGGGGCGACGGTGCTACCTGTGCACTTGCACGTATCAGCCACCCTTGAACGGCAGGTCCGATCATTCAATTCCACGCGCACTATGCGCCAAAACTCTCCTGTTCAGGTCCGCGAAAGCCTTTTCTAAGCCACGTCACCAACCATGAAACTGCCACAAACTGGTTCGGCCGACAATGCGCCCCTCGCGACCCTCGCGGTCGAGCCCGCGGACTACAATATCAACCCCCTTCCTCTTCAGCCGGATTCAATGCCCTCTCCTTGGCAGTTCGGCCCAGCGAGGCCATTGGCGCGCTGCGTAAGACCTGCGCAGCCCGATGCCCAGACGCACCTGCAAACTGATTGGTGCATGGAGCACGTGCCAATTGAGCACTGCTTTGCGTTCCAACAGACGCAAATGTCATTATCTACCTGGTCCCGCCGCGAATTGTTCCCGGCGGTCCGCGAGAACAAAAAGCAACGCATTGCAACGCAATAGTACAGGACAACTGTCGTATGCCGACTGCGACTAGGCCAAACTGTCCGCGACGCGTGCACGTTCGGTGTATCGAACAACACAAAACAGGTGGCATCTCAGGGTAGACTGACCTGGGCCACCTTTGGGAACAGAGAGAAGTGACGAGGGGTGAGAAAAGACTGAAGCAACGGGAGATGACAATCAGGGAGGACGATGAAGAGGAGGAAATGGAAGTGCAAGGGGGCCCCCAACTCCTAGCGAGCGAGCGAGCGCCGATATCCGCAACCGCGCCCACGACCGGCCGCGTGTCTTGAAGGCGTCGGCGGGGGGGGCCGGAGCCCCTCATATAATGAAGAGGGCGTTCCAAGGTCAGCACGGTGTCTATCTGCCGCGTCTTGTCAACTGAATGCCACAACATCATCGTATCGGTTGTCACTTGCACATAAAATCGAAACACCATCCGTGAGCTCAAGATCAGCAGCTGACAAATCTGTTGAAACATAAGCACCAATGGGCCGATTCAGAAAGAGCAGGCTAGATCGTCACAGTATCCTGCTCCGAATCTGTCGACAAACGCCGTAAGCATTGTTTTTAGAGACACGCGTCTTGGCTGGCAGAACAGATGCTGTCGCCCAGACTCGTTCCTGATCTCGACGAGCATTGCATCCATATCCATATTTGCCTCCGTTGCCAACATCACCTCGTCGTCGGAATCTCCAGGGATAATGTGCAAGACACCCTCGTCAGGAGGAAGTGATCCAACGTCACCGTATATTGACACCTCAGTTGCAAAACGATTCAATAAATGTTCGATGCGTTCGCGAAGATGTAAAAGCTCGTGTGTTGCCTCTCCTGCCTCTGGTGCGTGTGCCCGGACGTCGTCGGCTTGAGAATCCATCCCGCAAGTTGGAATCGAAACCTCGGTCATGACCAGTTCGTTTGAGTATGTATATGTTTGTTGGCATTCTGGCATGAGAACTTGGCACTGAAGGCTCTCGCATTGCACGCCGGTCGTACACTTCGATCCGATCAGAAAGAATATTTGAAACCAGTGGCCTCGATGCACTCATAACATGTTCTTCCGCATGCCACGTGGAGTATGTCAAACCAATTCCCCCACCAAAGAGAACAGGCACGTATTCGGCAGCGTCTACACGTAGTTGTCCGCCTTCCCAAAAACTGCATAACAAGACAAATATGTTTTCATATGATAGGTGTGGAATGCTGCCTGACGAATTGCAACATTACGGTCTCTCAATCGTCTCAACTCCCCCGCCCCGCAAATCATCCATCTCGCTTCCCCTCCCCCTCTGCCCCGTCGCATCCTGCTCATCAGACTACCCCTGCTTTTCTTTCTGCTGCATCTCTCACTATCCTGTTCACTCCCCATTATCTTTAACCTGGTCCTTTTGCTCCTCCTTCTCCTCCCCCTCCTACCCATCCTCTCCCTGCTGTCTGCATTCCTTTTTCCGCGTCCTCCTTCTCCTCCTGATTCTCCTCCTCGCCCTCCTGAATGTGGAGGAGGCTGCACAACGCGCGCTCACTACTACGCGACGTGGGCATATTCATATTCCTCATCCTCCATGCCCCCTCCCCTCTCCCCCTCCCGCACTGTACTCTGCGGAAGCATGTCAGTGCCACCTACCCCCTACAACAAGACACGGCTCGGGTGGCGCTACCACTTTGGGCCCCTCCCCCTCCCTCCCCCTGCCCCCTCCTCCTCCCCCTCCCCCTCCCCCCCCCCCTCCCTCCCCGCCTGCGCCCGACCCCTCCCCCCCGCCCCTTCCGCCCCCCCGACCCCCGTCACCCCTCCCCCGTCGGCAGGGGCAGGGGAAGCCCTCGCCGCTGGCCAGGCGCCGCGCGCCGCGGGGCGGCGGCGCTCCTTGTCCCCGGAGATGCCCATCAGCATGGGCGGGAAGAGCCTCGGAAGGCGCACGGCGGGATAGGGACTCGGAAGTCGCTGGAACTCGCCGATCTCCGTGATGCGACGAGGGGAAAGGACGAGGGGGAGGGAGGCAAGGCAAAAGGCAAGGCAAGGCAAGGCAAGGCAAGGCAAGGCAAGGTAAGGCAAGCCGCCCTCCAAGAGTTCGGCGGGGGCCGAAACCCAGATGCCGCAGTACACGATTGCCTCAGGATCCAGGATGTGCATCGTTGGCTCCATTGAGACAACCCTCTCCATCAGCGAGGAGGGAGGGAGGGAGCGAGAGGGGACCTTGGTTGTGGTGGCTGGCACGAAGGCGGGTTCAGAATCGAAACGGCTCGCCATCCGATGGCTCCGGCTTCGCTGGCCGAACACCCCCCCCAGATGCAGCACGCTTCCCCCCGGGGAGGTCAGACTGCAACAAGCCAAAGGAAGCTTGCGCCGGAGCCCGGAAAGGGAAACCCGGCGGGGCCGCGCACGCGCGTTTCCGCCTGCTGGACCTTGGGTCTCGTCGGCCTCCAGCTGAGGAGCAACCTGCCGCTCGATCTCGGCCCTATCGTGCACGGCAAGCGGAGCAAAGGGCCAAGGGGATCGAGCACGAGCGACTTCGTGGAGGATCGATGGCAGGGATGCTTTGCCCAGGCGAGTTCGATCCAACGGAACCCGCTCCAGATTCCAGGGCTGGCGGGGGCGGTCCTACAGCGAGCCGCGAGCACAGCCCCAGGTCCGAGATCCGAGCAGCAGCATCGGCGCCGAATGCAGGAAGCGATCCAGCTGCGAGGGGGAGAGGTTGAGAGCATTCCGCGGCAACTCGTGGGAGCCTCCAGTGTATGCCATATTGCTGGCTCTTGGAAATCCAAGCCAAATCGACGGATGTCGACGCTAAATCGGCGCCTCCCCATCGACTACCACATGCTAGCGCACGCGAACGCACTCTAAAGACGGAGCTACCGTGACACACACAAGGCCCAGGCCCCTATAACGTTCTACCAGAAGAACATGTAAAGGAAGAAAAGGAACAACGCATAGACGAAAAACGGTTCCCAAATCATCTGGTCGGTAAGACTGCTTGACGACATCGTAGTGATGGCCCAGCCGTTAACCAACAAACCGCGATCAAACAGATCGTCACCGAGACCGGGAATCTGGCGATGTCGAACTTCAAGCAGCACCATGATGGATATGGTTGTGACAACAACGGTGAGATGTATGTTTGTGTGTGAAAGGCCTCGGTGCTCTTCCTGCTGATCCTGCTGCTGCTCCTTCTCCACCTCGTCAACCAGGAGTGCGCAGATTACTCGACCGCGAAGGCGGCGAGATGTGTTTGCGCGCCGCAACTGGACAACTGCAAACGGGCCCCCACACTGCCAGCACCACCGAAGAGAGCGGAGGGATTAAGAATTAGTCATACGCAATCGAACAAGTTTCATAGGCGACGAGAACTGCGTGGCTCCGACTGACGGAAGGAAGGAGAAATGCGATGGTAATAGGAAGAAGCACTGCGATCAGCTGTGTCAGGCGCCAAATAACCAGAGGGGAATGTGGGCCAAAGTGGGAGGAGGAGAAGAAGGAGGAGGAAGGCACCCCTCATCCCGTGCTTGCGAGCGCATGCAAAGACGACCCTTTTCCTGATTCTCCTCCATCTGCGATGCTCATACTCCCGATTCCCTCCTCCCCCAAACCTCCCTGTTCCCGTCCCTCACCCACGAGCCTTCTCCTTGCTACTGCTGCTACTCCTGCACCTCATCCCCGCTTCCTCCACTCCCTCATCTCCCGTCCTCCCCCTCATCCTTCTTGATGCTCCTCCTCTTCCTCCTCCTCCTCCTCCTCCTCCTCCTCCTTGGGAGCTTGGTGATGAATGGCACGAAATCCATCTTCATCGCGTTCGGCCTCGGGCGGGCCGCTCACTCAGAGAGAGGTCCCCTCGCCCGCCGGCCCCCCTCTCCCTCCTCCTCCCCTTCCTCCCCCCTGTCCTCCCTCTGGGGCCCCAAGACCGTGTGGTGACCGACCGCCTGGTGACCTTGGAACCCCCAACGACCTCACCGCGCGGTCCGTCACCGCACTGTTTGGGACCACGGATTCTCCCGTCGCCCCACAGGTCCTCGCAGAGCGACCAGAGTCCCGACACCATGCGGTGAACCTGAATCCCCATGGACTCACCCCGCGGTGTGGTCACCCAACCGCTTCGGGGCCTCCGACTTCCCCTGCTCCCTGCAGGAACGCGATAGGTGGGCACCCTCAGTGCTAGGGGGGGGCATCGAGCTGGACTCGGCGATGCATCGCCGATAGATCGGCGACAGGCCCCCGGATAGCAAGACTGCGCGCTCCTGTGCGCAGTGGGCCAGCAGACATCGGTCGACGCTGAGTGGGCGATGCGTTGCCCCCCCCTTGAGCCTCCTTAGTGTTGTCCCTGACTCCCTGTCCTCAGGGTTCTGCGTTCGGCCTAAAGCCGTGCGGGGCCAGCCGGTGAAACACTGGTGAAAGATGCTGGGCGCAAGACCATGCCCTGCTCCCCATGTTTCCGATTGATCATCGCCAGCACGTAGCGGAGACGAGAGTAATAGTGAGTAAGGATGAGGAAAAGAATTGAAAGATGGAGGAAATGTGGGATGATCGGAATCGGAATCGGAACAGAAGCAAAACGTCATGGAAGGAGTGCGGGGGAGGTGGGGGGAGATGTCGGAAACGAGAAGCAAAACCAGAATAAGAGGTACATGGAGGATTGGCTCCTCCTGCTCCTCGGTTCGTCGACATCTTCTGCTCGCTCGACAAGGGGGGGGAGCTCCACCCTGTGTTCTTCTTCATCCTCCTCCTCCTCCTCCTGCTCCTCCTCCTCCTCCTCATGTCCCTCCTCCTTCCCGCATCGTTCTCCTCCTTCCCTCCTCCGTCCCGCACCGTCTCGTGGTCGTACTGCTCGTTTTCCTCAACCTCCCCGCATCCTTCTCGTGCTCCTCCTCTCCTCGTCCTCCTCCTCCTCCTCCTCCTCCTCCTCCTCCTCCTCTCCTCCTCCTCCTCCTCCTCCTCCTCCTCCTCCTCCTCCTCCTCCTCCTCCTCCTCCTCTTTCTCCTCCTCATGATCCTCCTCCTCTTCCTCCTCCTCGAGCCTGGCGAACCCAAGAGAGGGGGGGGGGCGAGGAGGACGAGCACGCCGAGGACGCCGCGCAGGAGCACCAGCATCGGCAAAGAAACGGAGGAAGGCGCGAGAGAAGGGACGATGAAAACGGCTTCCCCCGGGACCGTAAGCGACCCGAGGAGGGGGGGAGGAGGAAGAGGAGGAGGAGGAGGAGGTGGAGGAGGTGGAGGAGGAGGAGGAGGAGGTGGAGGAGGAAGAGGAGGAGCAGGGGGAGGAGGAGATGGAGGAGAAGGAGGAGGAGGAGGAGGAGGGAAGGAGGATATGGAGGAGGAGGATATGGAGGAGGATATGGAGGAGGAGGAGGAGGAGGAGGAGGAGGAGGAGGAGGAGGAGGATGGGAAGGAGGATGAGAAGGACGAGACGGACGACGGGCGGGATCGCGAGGAAGGGGTCACCAACCAAGACCCAGGCCACGCTCACGGCGATGTTGGTAAACGACGAGGTTGGTCGTTGCGACGCCGAGCTCGCGCAGGCCAAACCGCAGGAAAGCACGAGCATCGCTCTCCTATCAGTAAGCGGGCGGGCCACAAACCACACCCACCTGCAGTGCCGGCACCTGCCGCGCCGTCGGCGTGTCTGCGGGGAGATGGGGGGGAGAGGAGAGCGACGACGGGGCAGGGCGACGGGGGACCATGGACGAGGAAAGGGAGGAGCAAGAACAAGGGCACCCGCCAAACGTGGATTACGGATCCGCGGATCTGGCGCGCGGGCGCCAGATCCACGGATCGGAGAACGCGCTCGCTAGACAGCCGAAGGCGGTGCCGCCTGATTTGGAGCCGGAGTGCTTCGATTTCGCACGGAAGCGGCGCCCGTCGCGAACCAACACGAATCAATCCATCTTGGCGCGTCGTCGACGGACGAAAGCGAGAGGATGGATGGGGAAACCAGAGGGTACCGATACCGCTACTCCTCGGACCTCCTCTGGGCGCTCTCTGACCAGAATTTCGAGGTGAATCCAGCCATGGCGATGAAGGCCTCCTAGGAGGCCGAAAACGGCGAAAACGAGGGCCTGGTGGCGGTATCGGTATCCTCTTTCTTCTCTCGCCGGACCTCTCCAGGGGAGATTGACAAGACGTTCGAGGTGCATCCAGTTATGGCGACGAGAGCCTCCCAGGAGGCCCTTAACGGCGAAAGCGATGGACGGGTAGCGGGATCGGTGACCGTTGTCCTCCTCTGGGTAGAGAGGAACCCGCCCCCCCCAAAGATGAGCACCCGCCAGTGGCGGTAGGTGGCGACATCCGAACAGTACAGTGGAGGCCAGTCCACAAGAACCCTTCCTCAAGAAACCCAACCCCGAGACCCCAGGACGTCCATTGATTTTTGGCGTGGGAACCCATCGAAACCAAAAAACCCAAGGCACCCTGGAGGCAAGCAGGGTGTTTCTCGGCATGGGCCTCCACTGTACGGCAGGTTCGTGTCGTGACGACCCCATCGCTGATTTTTCTGACACTGCCTGGATTGTTCAACCTTGAACGAGCGGCGGCGTTTCGATCTGGCTTCCATGCTGGCTGGTCCTGGGCCGCTTGCGGCGTTCAACCTTAAAAGACCGCGGCGGGGTCGCCGCCGCGTCGACACGACACGAACCTGCCGTATCCCCACCACCCATCGATTTTTCGGAATTGATGGGAGTCCCCCTGCAGGCCGATGTTGGACGAAACAATACTTCAGTACACATCTGAAAAATGCCCAAACATCATCGAAGCATCGTCCCCTGACTTGTTTGAACCTATGTTTGAATATTCCTCCTGTAGAGGGACAGGCCCGATTTCACACTTGCTCGGCGAATTCCGAGGCCCACCCCCGCCGCCCCTCGGGTTGCCTGAATCGTTGATCGGCGATGGCAGGGTTTGGATTCCGCCGCCGAAGCTCACCCCTGTGGACACACGGGGCGCGTCAGGAAGCACGCCACCGAGCATCCACCTTACGGCCAGGAACTCGCAGTGGAGCAGACAACAAACGACACCAACCCAAATACGGCGCCCCGGGCCTCAGCGCAAACCAAAAAATATGGCCTGCGCTTTTGCGTGGTACACGGTACGGTCCCCCGATGGGCCGTGGCGCAACATGGAGGGCCGTAGGTGGGGCGGTGTCGTTTGTTTGCCCGTCGTTGTTGCAAGGCCGAACAACAAATGTGGTCTAAAACCGACAACGGCCGCTGTTGGGCAGGCGGCCTCCTGTCTCAAATGGACACCGTCTGCGGCGAGACCAACAGCAAGCCCTGTTCAGAATGAACAGGAACTTCTGTTGGTCTTTGTAACACTTCTCTACGTGCCCGTGTCGATCGTCCCGGCTACAGCCAACCTGTAAAATCAGGACGCACGGTAACGATGCAATGGGTTTGACAGGCCGCGTCGACACCTTGCGAGCGGGGCGCGGCCAGCGAAAACCGCCAAGCATGGGTGGGCCGACGGGGACAAACGGAATGGCAACCCTGGAAAACTGTTCACACTGACTGTGCAGGTTGGCTGTGAACAAAAACTGCCGGCGGTCCGCGCGGAGCTCTTGGATCGGCGCTGGACCCAACTGCCTGGCGCGCGGAGGCCCTCCCGGGGCCGCCACCAGAGGGGGCCGAGCGCCGATCCGAAAACTCCGTGCGGCACTCCGAAAATTGCTGGTCATAGCGTGTCGCGTTGGCGGCCCCCGTTGGAACCTTGGGAAATTGCTGCGTCCTAGAAGGCTTGAAAACAAAAGGCTGCGTTTTAGAAGGCGCTGGCCTTGCATCTATAGTGAATGCCCGTGCCTTCTACGAAGGCGGGTGTTTCTATGAAGCCTTCCCCCCTCCCCCTGCCCCCCTCTGCGCGTAGCCGAGTGTCGCGGCGGCGGCCGGAGGCGGGCATACCAGTCGGTCGGAGGAAATGCCTAGAACCATGAAGTAGGAAGACGCTCGGAGCAGATTGGGCCTCCGCCCGCTCTACGAAGAGGGGGGAAGCAGGAGAAGGCACTCGATGGTTGAAGTAGGAAGGCGCCTAAAGTCGATGGGGGTATGGATATTCCAAAATACCTACTTCGAACTTCTTGATAAACGTCGGGGAGGGGCTCCGTCCCCGCCGACAGCCCTACATCGACCCCCGTCGCGGGCAGCCACCGCACACCGGAGGCGCTCCGACCCCCTCGGTCTCGTCGTCGTCGTCGTCGTCGTCGTCGTCGTCGGGGGGGGTGCACCCCCACGCTTGCTTATTCAAAGGGCCAGAACACTTCCAACGGCCGGCGTGTAAGTGCGGGGCATCGTGTCGAGCAGCTCCAGGAAGCCCCGGCGCACGGACGCCTGGGGAGGGGGCGGCCGCCCCCGCCCGTGGCCGCCGCTGCCCCGAGCACCGCCGAGCGGCCGCCGCCGCCGCCGCGCGCGAGGCAGCGGCGCCGGCGGCGGCGGCGCTGTCCCAGACCATGACCACCTATCAGACCACCCCAACCCAACCCGAAGACCCGAATTTCGGGTTGGGGGGGGTACGGGTTCCATATGCGTTTTCTCGATGTTCCCCGACCCCCCCACTGGAAATGGAGGTCAAATTGAGGCCTTCGGATTGGGTTGGGGTGGTTCGGTGAGTGGTGAAACCGCAGTCCCAAGGATAAGACGAAGCCAGGCTGCCATCTGGTGAGGGTAAAGCGAAAATCCCTGAGATACACATGGGAAACACACATCATAGAACTAACATGTATACGAACAGAACAATATGTCGAATGTTGTGCATCTGTCTGAGCGAGTGAGTGAGGTGTACCTTGCAACAGACAGCTCGCAAGCAGGGCTCCCCCCCCAAAAAAAACCGTCGCCCATTGCCTTCAGCAGCCGCTCCAAGCCGTTACTGTCAGCTCCCAGTCGCGCACTGCGCCGCCCTCAAAGCGGAAGTAGTCAGCCAAACGACCGCGGGAACTAGCAACTTCCAGACAATTTCGTGAGACAAGGTGTCCCCATGTCTCCCTTGGACGTCCTCGCTGTCTCCGGCCAGCTGGTTTGCGAAGCTACAAACTTCCCAGCTCAAGCACAATGCAGCGAACTGGGTCCGATCCGGGTCTCCGGTCCAGCTGAGCCATGAACAGCACCTGTCTTCTGGCAGGGCGCACGCTGAGCTTCTCTTCTCCAGCCATCTGAAGCACAGTGACATTGGAGACTCGGCTGATGTATGCAGGTGACACTCGGCATTCTATGCGGAGGCATCGGTCTTGAAAGCTATCTATGCGTCGCCTTCCCGCCTTTTCAAACAAGCTGCACAAACAAGTATGTGATCTTGGACACCACACAAGCATTGGAGGTTCGTATTTTCTGTTTCCTTGCGCAACGTCTTAACATCGCCCGTCGCAGCCCCAAGCTTCCTGTTCAGCTCGGAACCGCTCTCTCCGTCTGCAGAAAAAGAAGTACCCAACTAAACCAGAGACGATTTCTTGTCTATGTTCTCACCGAAATTATTGATGATAGGGGCATCTGACCGCGCGCCCATCAATACAACTTTCTTTCAATTGAGCTGTAGATCGTAATTCGCACCACATGTTTCCACGCTGCGCATGAGCTCCTGGATCGGGCCAACATCGCTGTCGATGAGCAGCGTGCCAACCGCGTACATGAGCTCCCGGGCGAATGTTTCCTGCGGTGCGTCGCCGGGCTTCCTTCGCAAGTCTACGCGAACGTATCTGAGCAACGTCGCCATGGCGATGGTGAACAAAAATGGCGAGAGCGGGCACGCTTGGCAGATGCCGTAGGCCTGCTCGTGCGAAGACGACGTGCGCCCGAAGTCTGCCACTACAACATGTCGGTCCTTGTAATTGGGCTGGATCATCTGCGCGAGCTGTTCCCGGCAGCCAAACCTGCGCAGAGACACTGCGAGTGCGTCTGGTGGAACTGAATCGGATGCTTTCGCCCAGCCCAGAACCAGAAATATTGTTCTCCCATCTCTGATAGCCCATGCATCTTCCAGGACGCGGCGAACTACAAACACTGCGTGTGCAGTTCCCCTGCCAGATCTGAAGCCGGATTGGGTCTTCCATATCTTGTCTTCGGCGCGCGCATCCTTGAGACCACGCCTCAATATCATTGCAAACGCTTTGTACCCGATGGGCGACAATCTGATAGGGCGGTCGTTGTCCCACACTGCAAGGTATCCCTCTTTGTACAACGTGCGCACCCGCGATTTATGTCATTCCTCGGGACTTCCGCGCAAACCCAAACCATATTGCAGAACCGACTAATCCAGATCAGCGCAGGTGCGCCGTCGTCCTCCGCAGCCTTCCAAAATTCTGGCAGTACCTCGTCCTTCCCTTACTCAAAGAAGCGGCCGCCCGCTTGACTTCGCCCGGTGTGATATCGCCCAGATTGACAAAGAACTCGTCGTAGATGGACTGCGCGTCGGGCGTTGCAACGCAAGGCCGGACAGCCCATTGCACAAGCTCCAGATGCTCCGCCAGGGTGTCCGCTCGGCAGACGCTGTCGACCAGGACGTTTCTGGCGTCGCGGAGCCGGCCCTGTTGGGGCAACGATCCTTTACGAAACTTGCGGATTTGATTCCATTCGCCGGAGGCTGTCAAGTTTTTCAGCCACACGGATCTGTCTTTACCCACGGATGCTTTGATGTGTTTGGCAATTCGCTTCTCTTGAGCTGCGTCGCCTCGTCGCCGGGCGTCCCTCCGTCTGTCAATGGACCCCATCGTGCCTGAGCTAATCAATCCATGGTCGTCTCGGTGGAGTTGCTACTGTTGGTAGCGTGTTGTCTGACGCGTGGTGGAAGCCATCCACAAGACGACCCCATGCCAAGTTCACATATTCAGAGTTCGGCGCGGCATCCCCGTAGCTCTCCAATGCTTCCTCCAAACAGCTCTTGAAGTGCGTTTTGATGGCGTGGTTTGCGAGGGCGTTCAGATCAGGTCGAGTTCTGGGAGCCTCCGTATTGGTCACGGCCACTGCCATGTGCACCTCCACTTCCAGGAGAAAATGGTGTAAGGATAAAAGCATATCTGGATGCGCACTGACCCAACTGACATTTCGACGCCATCCCTGGCCGCAGACCGTGAAATCTATGTGGGAATGCGTCTGAGCCCCAATCTGGTGCCCAGCATGGCAGCCAACGTTACGGTTTGTCGTCAGCTGCTCTGTCGGCGCGTCGAAGAGAGTATTCGCGAGACACATATGAAACGGCGTGCCCATTTCAAGAAGGAAGTGTCGATCCGCATCTTCTTTGCATTCGCCCTGTGAATGGCGGAGTAGATGGTGTCTAACGATGTGCTCCTCTCCTTACAAGTTCTCGTGCAATTTGGCGCTCATGCTTCCGAAGAGCAATTTGGACCAATGGGCGGAAACTGACGTAAGAAAAGTGCCACATTCGTGAACGAACTTTTGACGACGCGGGTAATCACGCCCACTGTGGACCACACGCTGAAAATATTGCCGCTTTCCCTCTGGTGATGTGCATCTAAAATAACAAATAATCGAGAATTGCATATACATATATATATATATATATGTACATATATATATATATATATATATACACCTATTGTCTTTGTGTGTTCTACTCGCGCTCTACTGCATATTAAACTGCTACTGGAAACTGTACCGGGCGCCGCGGCATTCTCCGACCGATCCGGAACGCACTGAGAGCGTTCCAGAACGCTCTGGAACGGACGTGTCCTCGACTTAAACCCAACCCGAAAGAAGGCCCTGGCGCGCCCTGGGGCCGCTCGTAAGCGCCCCGGCAGGGCCCGCATGGGGTGCCTGGGGCGCCCTGGGAGCGCTTGGGGCTGCTCCTCGCAGGGCCTTTTTTTTTCTAGGGAGCGCCGTGGGACGGCCTGGGAGCGCCCCCGAGACCAGGGATGGCGACCCAAACCAAGATCAGTGAGCATCGACTCGGCCAATGGGATCGACACGATCTGTGCATCGGATCGGGCTGCATCGGCACGGACCCCCGGCACGGACCAACATCAGCATCAACGACAACAGCAACAGCAACAGCAACAACAACAGCAACAGCAACAACAACAACAACAATCATATTTCTAAGAATGTTCGATCTTACTTGCCAGCGGGTCATTCAAAACGAGCTCCCCACACCCTCGGTACCCGCGGTTTTTTGTTTTCGATCACACCCCTTTGGGGGGTATTGTTTCTCTTTGCGGGGGGCGGCGGGCTTAGACAGGCGGGCAAACCTGAACGGGCGGACAATCCTTCGTGGGCGTACATGTGCCCGCCATTGGACTTGGTGTGGGCCAGGCAAGATGAGGAGGGGGAGAACGAGGGAGAGCGAGTGGGAGGAAGGGAGGAGGAGGGATGAAGGAAGAGGGAAAACGCAAGGAGAGAAGGAACGAAGAGGTGGGCGGTTGATTAGAGGCAGAGAGAGAGAGAGAGAGAGACAGACAAAAAAAACAAAAAGATACATGCACGAGAGGTAGAGAAAGAGAGAGAGAGAGAGAGAAAAAACAAAACAAATAAAAAGGGAGAGAGAGAGAGAGAGATACAGAAAACAAAAAGAGAGAGAGAGGGAGGAGGCAGTAGAGGGGAGAGAGAAGGGAGGAGGGATAAGAGGGAGAGGGAATAGGGCAGAGAGGCATAAGGATGAGGGAAGAGAGGAGGGAGAGAGAAGGGAGGAAAGGTGGGAGGAGGGAGGAGGGAGAGGGAGGAGGAGCAGGAAGGTAAGAGCGTGAACGTTCGAGGAAGTCCTAGGCGAAAGCGCCGTTCCTGAAGGAAGTCTCGGGCGGGAGGCGGGAGTCCACGACTGGCGGGCGATCCCCTGACGGGCGGGTCGGGCGGGTGGGACATTCAAGCGGGATGCCTGAGAATGGCGAGAGCGCGATTACTAGTAAATTGGAACGGCGTCCTCGGCGCAGCGAGTTTCCTGAGCGTCGAAAGCGCGATTTCTGAATTCGCCGGCCCAACAAGCCAGAGGCGTGCTAAGATCTCCGATAACTACTTAACAATATTTCTAGTTCGCGCGCGCGGGGCGGCCCCTGGAGGGCCCCGGACGAAAAGTACCCTGGCCGATCCTCGGCTGGTCCCCGGGCGATCCCCAGGGGGGAGGCTATTTTGTGCCACCCCTCACGAGGATCGTGACCTCCGAGGGGGTGGCTGCAATCGACTACCCCCCCCCCACCCAAAGAGGCCCCAGGAGAGCCCAATACGCCGCCAAGGAGCCCCAAGATGCTCCCAAAAAGCCCCCAAGAAGCCCCCAAGACGGCCCCAAGAGGCCCCAAATAGCGCTCCAGGGCCGGCGGAATGAGCGAAACTATTAAATAACTTGCATGGAAATCACAGGCGAGAGCGCAATTCCTCAATAAGATGTGATTAAAATGCAAAGAAATCTTTATTCAATTGCGAGGAAGTCTCAAGCGGGAGCGCCGTTCCCGAGTAACTTGTGAGGAAGTCTCAAATGGGAGCGGGGGTCCTGACTACATTGCGAGGAAGTCACTGGCGGGAACACCGATCCTGAGTAAATTGATCGGAAGTCTCAGGAGCGGGGGTCCTGAGTAAATTTGGAGGAAGTCTCAGGCGGGAGCCGTTGTTCTTGTAATCCGCAGGGGCCGCACCAAGACTTTCCCTGTCAAAAAACAAGGTGCGAGCGTTGAGGGGCACACTTTGATTGAGAAAAAACAGCATGCACCGGTGAGGGGGATCAACAATAATTATTCTTCAGGAAAGAGGGTTCAACAACAACAACAACAACAACAACAATCATTTTACCCGAACGCTCAGTGTTCTCACCAGTGCCAGGGTTTTCATACGACGCCCGCCAATACCCCCACTTTGTGGGGGGGCCGGTTCAAGCTCTACCACATTTCCAAACGACTCTTCGCCACCACCCACACCCAGCTTCCCGCCCTATGACGTTCGGACACTTCACTTCGTGGCATGCGGACGACCGTGGCTACTACACTGGCGCATGGTTTCAATGACTTCTTGTGGTAACATCTTGTGGAAACTAGCTTAGTATACGACGACGACGATTTGAAGGGCCTACGGTGCGAAAAATGATTTTATGTTGCGCGGTGCTAAAATTCCTACGAAACCCAATGGTTTTTGAAGATTTCGGCGTGCGCACGGAAAGAAAAAACGAATGTGTCCCGCATGGTATTATTTGACAGGGATGATGGCCCTGGCAGGTGCGCAACCGTTGTTGGAGAAGTTCGAAGCACGTGAAGAAGTTGATCGCAAAAGCCCGTTTGACAGAAATGTTTAAAAAAGTTGGGTTTCCTGCAAATCCGCGAATGTTGATGTTGAACTCGTTACGAACACTAAGGTTTTGGAAGGATTTCGTCTTGCGCGCGCGAATGTCCACTTTACCTTATTTTTTGCAAGGGATTCTTGAAGTTTGGTTATTTTAGAACAAGAAATTTCATTTTATAGTGTTTTTTGCAAGGGACAGCGGGGGGGAACAAAACAACCGGATCTTGATGACATCGTATTACCTGAGGCTTCCTCACGAAAATGATGAAAATGTAGCTGCGGCCTAGGCGCGGCGAGGGGGTCGCGCACCAGGGGTCCCAACAATAATTATTCTTTAGAATAAATAATGTTCAACAACAACATCAATTGCAACAACTATGACAACAGCAACACCAGCAGCAACATCAACAATCAGATTGAGTCTGTTCACTCCTATCTGCCCACGTGCCATCAAATACGTGTATCCCAGACCCTGGGTACCCGCCCTCTCGTATCGTACGCCCTTGGGCGCATATCTTCCTTACCTGACACGTGCATTTAGCGCAGCACCTAAAACAGATGAAGAGAGGACGGGTGGAAGGGGGAGGGAGAAGGATGGAGCACGAGAGAATGTAGCAGTTTGGGGGCAAGGAGCAGAACACAAGTGGTAGAACCACACGGGCAGATCGGGTGGGCAAACCCATAGCGGGCGGCTGGGAAGGCGGGCTTGGGCGACCAGGTCGAGCAGGCGAGTTGCTGAAGCGTGGGTCCTGCACGAATCGCGAGGCAGTCTCGAACGATAGCGCCATTCCCAAGTAATTCGTGAGAAAGGCCAAAGGGAGAGCGTGATTCCTGAGCGCCGAGGGCACATCGCCTAAATCAATTGCGAGGAAGTCACACGCGGGAGCGAGAATCTTACATAGATTGTGAAAAAGTCCCGCACGAGAGCACTACATAGTGACGAACTAAAAAGCGGGAGCCACTGTTATTACAGATCGGTGGCCACAGACACAATTCTAAGACCTAACAACTTCCCTTATCAAAATCAGGGTGCGAGTCCCAGGAAGCGCACTTCACTTGAAAGAACACAATGTGCTCCAGAGGGGGAGGATGAACAATAATCCGAGTGAGGGGGCCGAACGGTCATTCACTGTCCCTGGGTGCGTGGCGAAGTGGGATTTCGCGATGCGGGTTATTATTGTTGTTGATGTTGTCGTTGGTGTTGCTTTTGTTGGTGTTGTTGTTGATGGTGGTATTTGTCTGTTGTTTGTTGTTGTTGTTGCTGTTGTTGTTGTTGTTGTTGTTGTTGCTTGGCATCGTCCCCCCCGGCGACCTGACCCACGACCCACCCGCGCCCCACCCCGCGACCCACCCGCGACCCACTCGCGACCCACCCCGCGACCCACCCCGCGACCCACCCGCGACCCACCCGCGACCCACCCGCGACCAACCCGCGACCCACCCACGACCCACCCGCGACCCACCCCGCGACCCACCCCTCGACCCACCCGCGACCCACCCCTCGACCCACCCGCGACCCACTCGCGACCAGGCCCGCGATCACCCGCGACCCATCCGCGACCCACTGGCGACCCACCCGCAACCCACCCAGCGACCCATCCGCGACTCACCCACAACTCCCCCGCGACCCACCCGAAACTCGCCCACGACCCACCCGGCGACCCGCCCGCGACCCGCCCCGCGACCCACTTGCGACCATCCGTGCGACCCACCCGCAACCCAACCGCGACCTACCCGCGACCCACGAGCGACCCTCCCGCGACCCACCGGCGACCCATCGCGCCACCCATCGCGCGACCCATCCGCGAACCACCCGCAATCCACCCTCCATCCACCGGCGATTTCTTCCCGCAGCCCACCGCGCGACCGGCCCGCCACCCACCCATGACCCCCGCACCCGCCCTCACTCGTATCCGCAACTGCGGGATGCTACATACAAATTGTTAGAAAAATGCACCGCCTGCGGCGGGCTTCTTCAGAGCCTCGCAGGCTGCCGACGACTCCGTGGCCCCCCCACTCTTCTCCGCAAATGCGGAATTCTACATATTGGCTCTCCCGCGGGTGACCTAGCCACCATCCCCTACTCGCTGACCTGCTCGATTACTCGCTGAATTCTACTGCCGACGATGCTGGTGCTACTACGACCACCACTGCTACTGCGCTGCAGTAGTGTGCATGGTGGCCATGGCTGAAGCGATATGGTTCCTAAGAAAATTAAGCGAAACAACAAGTCCTCGCCCTGGTATCCTGACGCATGCAGTGTGTGTTCCACGTCCATTGCGTCTGTGTTCGATTTCGCCGCCTTAAAGCAGAACTCAACTCCTGTTTCTGTAGGGCTGACAAGCAAAATGTACCGAACTGGTCTGTCGGCGAATGGGCGTGCGACACGTGACAGCCGTGATAGAAGCATCTCCTGTAATGCAATTCGGTGTCGCCGAAGCATTCGATGTGTACCCCTCTCACTCTTTGCGCCATCCTGCTACCCCCCCCCCAAAAAAGAATACCCCCCTGATTATGTACCCTCCTCCGCCGTCCCTCGTCCTCCTTTTTCTTTCCTCATACGTGCATCCCGCCTTCCTACTCCGTCTCCTTATCAACAACACCCGCCTCTGCAGATTCTTCCTCCTTTCCCAGTCCTCCTCCTCCTCCCCCTCCTCCTCCTCCTCCTCCTCCTCCTCCTCCTCCTCCCTCCCCATCCCATCCCCTCCCCTCCCCACCTCATTGTCCTCCTCATCCTCCTCCGCCTCGTGGTCAAAAGCATCGTCAACACCATCATCACCACCATCACCACCATGACCATCACCATCATCACGATCACCATAACCATCACACTAACAATCAGCATAAGTACAATCATAATCATCAGCATCATCACCATCATCGCCAGTACCATCATCATCATCATCATCATCATCATCATCATCATCATCATCATCATCATCATCATCATCACCATCACCATCACCATCACCATCACCATCATCATCATCATCATCATCATCATCATCATCATCATCATCATCATCATCATCATCATCATCAGCATCATCATCATCAGCATCATCGCCATTAGCATCACCACCGCCATCATTCACTTCACCACCACCACTTTCACCATCATCACCACCACCCTCATCACCATCATCATAGCTCCTCCGCCGAGCGGCGCGAGCCAAGCCGCGGCGGCCCGGCCCCGCAGGGGCGCCTTCGTGTCGATGGCGCCCGCCTGGATCTCGGGGACGAGATCTGGCACCTGGCCGGCCGCCCGCGCCGGGAGCGGTGGGGAGAGGCCAGGATCGAGGAGGGAGGCCAGGAGCGCCGAGGAGAAGGGAGGAGAGGTAGGACGGCAGGACGAGGAGAACGAGGAGGAGGAGGAGGGAGGAGGAGGAGGAGGAGGAGGAGGAGGAGAAGGGAGGAGGAGGGCGAGGAGGACGAGGAGGAGGAGGGAGGAGGACGAGGAGGAGCAGGAGGAGGAGGGAGGAGGGAGGAGAGGTAACTACGCTCCAGCTCCGTGGTCAAAGGGCGCCCAGCGCAGTAGCAGCACAACGAGGGGGGAGGGAGGAGGGGCGGGGAGGGGAGGGGGGGGGCAGGAGGGAGGGGAGGAGCGGGGGCGCGGGAGAGGGAGAGGGAGAGGGAGGGCAAGCTGGGCGCGCAAGCGCCATGTCTGACGTCACGACGTCCTCCTCCCACGCCTTACCGTCGGACCCAGGCCAGGAGACCACCCCTCGGGGAACCGAGACCCTCCGCCTGCAAACACAAGCAGAACATCCGAGGGTAACCTCCCCAGGATACACTGCAGCATCCAACAAACACGAAGAACACCAGGGTACCCTCCCCGAACCGACCTCGATCTGATACCTCGGTCCGACTGTACCTTGGCGTAGATCTCTTCCCTTTTCGCACAATCGGATGTCGAACAGAGCAATGATCCCGAGAGAGTACTACGTGATGCATGTCATAGTACTGCATGCATAGTATGGCATAGACGAACACGGCCACAACCGACGTCGTCGCGTCGAGAACGCGATTCATGTCGACAACAAGGTCAGAGGGAAACCAACAATGACACAGGACGGGACATGCGAATGGACGGTCTGGAAAGCGGGAAACGCAAAATGAACTCATCGCTGCAACGGGAGCACGATTTCGAACAACCGGAACCGCGGAAATGAGACCAGCGCTGCAATGGGAACACGCTCTAGAAGGACTGGGAGCTCGGAACATGAGCCAACGCTGGAGCAGAAGATCGACTTGAAAGGACCGAAACAAGAAAATGAGGTCAGCGCTGCAGCGGGCACATGATTTGGAAAGACTGAACATGGGAAATGGAGCCAACGCTGTAGCGGAAGCGCCTTTCTGGAAGGTCTACAAAACGTTCGGATTGGCAGAACGCATCTTAATTCTGAGTGCGGCGGCATTCTGTGTAGGAAAAACACTACGCGGAGGAGGCCAGGACACCTCATCGGCATTTTCGGGGGAGAGAGGATCATCGTTTTCATGTCGTGCAATGTTCGAGGAGGGCGGTGGGAGGAGGGAGGCGGGATGAGGAATCGAGGAAGAGAAGAGGAAGAGAGGAGAGCGGCGACGGGGACAGAGAGAGAGAGAGACATAGGAAGAGGGAAGGGGAGAAAAGAAGTATGCCACAATGTGCCGAGCGTCAGCCTCAACTGCGGCTGTGGCCGCCGTGCGCAGATGCTGGGCCCGGGGACGCGCCCAGCCAGGATCGGTGGTTTGGATGGTTTGCGTTCACAAGGTGGGAGGGGCCGAGGAAGGAGGAGCAATGGGGGCAGCAGGAGGCAAGAATCGGCGGAGCAGGGGGGGGAATGAGAGGGGGCATGCCCTCTCAAAATGCGGCAGGGCTTTTCAGAAGCCCTCACGCCTTCTGAGAAGCTTTCTAAGCATTCTCCGAAGACAAAGGCGGCTTATCAGCAAGCACGAGGGCTTCTGAGAAGCCCCGCCACCTTCCGCGAAGGCCTGCCCCCTCTCACTATCCCCCCGGGCTCGCCGACGAAAAAAGAAGGACGATCATTCGAGAACACAATGCGGCGTGAGCATAAACGTCCGGAGGTCCGCGCGAAGCTCCCCCCCCAAAAGTACGTATGCAGCGGTGCTTCCTTGGCCTGAGGTTCCTAGCTTCGCGCATCGCGCCACGCGGTGCGCGGTTCTCTTCACACCGTCGCGCGCCGCCGCCATGGAGAGAAGGGTGCCTCTCGTTCCAGACCGCGATGCGCGAAGTGCGATTACCTTCGTGCTCCTGGAAGTGACCTGGTGGAATCATGGAGGGAGGAGGGGGAACGGTGCAGAGGGAGCAAATGTTTTGGTCGGGCATGTCCTGCTACAGGCGGATTTTGGAAGGCAACTGAAACATTGTCAAAACAATGCGCAACAATAATCAAAAGACAATCGAGACATCGTCCCCATACTATTTTTTGACTATTCTCGAATCTGCCTCCTGTAGAGGGACATGCCCGACTTAAGCGAAGCGGGGAACGACGGGTGGGTGCCTTAGGGGAGTCAGAGGACGGGGAATGAAGGGCGCGGTCGCTTCCCGTTCCCCCCAACGGGGGGGGCTCCTTGGACTTGTCCATCTTCAGCAGCACCTCGTGGACGCGTCTCGTCTTCCTCCTCCTGACGATGTTCGTCCTCCTCCTCCTCCTCCTCCTCCTCCTCCTCCTCCTCAACGGGGACCATGGCCCGTGATCGCTACCAGCCAATCGACGAGGGTCCTTGCGGGCGGCTCTGGGACGGTTTGAGCTGGCCATCGTCGCCGCTGTGCTCGACCTCTTCGGCGGGTCCGCGTTCGACCAGCAACTGCTCTTGCCCGTGGAGCCACTCCAAGTTCGGGTGGCCTGCTATCAACAGTCGTGTCGTCGTTGCCCCTTCCTTAGAAAGAAAAAGACAACTGGCATAATCACAAACTTTGGACGGTCCGCACGGATGTCTTGGATCTGCGCTGGGCCCCCCTGGCGGCGCCTCTGGCGCAGCCCGAACATTCATGTTCGTGTAACTTGTCCTCCTCCGATTCTGCGTATCCGCCTGCCCGCCATAGGGGGCCACGTGCGAACCCTACCCCTACCCCCCACGATTTCTGAGGGGGAGGGTGGGGTTCACTTCGCTCGGGAGCTCCCGCACGAAGTGAACCCCACCCTCTCTCTCAGAAATCGTGGGGGGTAGGGGTAGGGTTCGCACGTGGCCCCCTACGCCAGTCCAGACCTGACGCCGTGCCGTCAGCAATGATCCCGTGCCCCGAAACCCCTTCGAGTCCTCAGCATCGTGGCGTGCAGCAAGAGCCCTTCGGAGGCCTGCCCTCTCGATGTCCCGAATCCGCTGGAACTCCTGGGCGCGCCTGGGCCTCCCTCCAACTGCATGGGGAGCAGAACGGCACCCGCAACCCCACCAGCCCCCCCTCCCGAGAGGTAGGGAGGCCTTGCGGGGGTGGGGGGTGCTTGTCGTGCCTTTTCTCCAGGCGTCCCCACACTCAGGAGCCGAAGCTCGTTGGCCGTGTGCCAGAGAGGGGAGGGGGGCCAGGGTTGGAATGCAGGTGCGCTGTCTTGCCCCGACACTCCCCGCGTGATAATTCCCGAGGCCTCGCGGGGGCCTGGCGCGAGATCCAAAACAATCGTGCAGAACCTGCTGGGGTTTTTGCGTGATGTTGCCGTCCTCACCCCTTCGGGCCCGGGAGCGCCCAAAAACAACACACACTGCGCCTTCAGCATCAACCGCCAGGAATGCACAATTCGGGCAGACGAGGGGTCGGGTCATCCCAGCACAGCCGGATTCGGCAGTAAGACGAGCAGAAGATGCATGAGGAGGACGCCGACGAGGAAAGTAGGCGAGGAAGTGGAGGATGAGGTCGCAAGGGCCCTCAGAAGATGATTGGCAGGTGGACTGTAACAAGAATGTGGACCGAAAGGAACGGTGAGGACGATGATGGTGATGAGGACGAAGACGACGACGACGATGATGATGACGATACTGATGATGATGCTGATGATATGATGGTGGTGATGGTGGTGCTGGTGATGATGATGACGAATATGATGATGATGATGATGATGATGATGATGATGATGATGATGATGATGATGAGGAGGAGGAGGAGGAGGAGGAGGAGGAGGAGGAGGAGGAGGAGGAGGAGAAGCAGGGAGAAGGGGAGAAAGGATGGGATGATGCAGAGGCGGACGATGACGCTTTGGAGGACGCCTCGGTGTCGCCCCCCCAAGGATGATGGGTCGTCACACGGATGATGCGACGTGCCCTGATCAGACCTCAGAAGCTCCTCGTGAGAGAGGGAGAGTGGATTGGCTAAGGGGGAAGCATCATCTTGGAATCGGCCATGCATCGCCGATAGATCGGCGGTAGACCCTCGAGAGCGAAACCCAGGGCGGCCTTCCTGGGCGGGGAGGGCTATTAGGGCCCTTCTCGGCGATGAATGGACGACTGAGGATCGATACATGCCCCCATGACGTTGCCCCTGACCTTTGGCTGACCCCGACCCGTTCCTGGGTGCACATAGGCACGTAGGTCACCGTGGTACCATCAGGAATGCTGAGTAAGGAACGGAGCGGCTTTTCTGGCCACGGCGAACCACGGCGACGAATAATTTCTTCGACCTGGACCGAAAGAACGGTCAGACAACCAAAACCCGTCCTGAACCCAAACTGGTCATGACTTCAACGTCTTGACTATGGGATATTCCGCTCTTCCGACGGCCCGGGTGCCCCAAACGGGCCCTCCAAGGGGCCATTGAA